AAATTCTTCCCAACGTCTCGTCTACCCTCATCACTGTCCAAATTTCATCGTGTGGTCACGATTATCCCGTAGTGTTTTATTTTTTTCTATAAATCGAAATAACTTGAAATTTGAAAGGTATGTACATCTTACTAAAGTGCATCTAGTAAAAATAAAAAAAAAATTATCCATAAAAAATAAATTAACCAAAATACCCCCAATAACTTTCGGGGGTACTTTTGTCAAGTTTTTTTATGAAAAATATTTTTTTATATTTTTTAAAGATTCCCCTATTTTTTATAAATACACGTGCAAAATTTCAAGTCATTTCGATTTGTAAAAAAGAAATGAAAATGAAATATTACCAAACACTCGTTACTGCACGATAAATTTTGAACGGTGATGGGAGTAGGCAAAATCACTGTTCATTTTCACCTATAAACATTGCGTAGTGCTTTCCTATATATATAGGCAAATATGAACAGTGATTTCGCCTACCCTCATCACCATCCAAACTTCATCGTACGGTCACAGTTGTCCGGTAAATTCTAAAGTGGTTTACATACAGACCCAACAAATTTACCTAAAATTTGAAATGGAGCAATTTTTAGCAAAAATTTTGCGAAAAGTCGGTCAACTTGCCATTTTTATTTTCTCAAAAATTGTGCATTTTTTTTTATGTTTTTGTTAGTAGGGTAGTGCCCCATGTTTAGGGATAATGCCTAGGAGGTTCGAGGTTAGAATCCTTGGACCGCCCTTTGGACTATGCACCTTAGTTCGTGAGTTGTCCAAGATCCCCATACCTCTCTTTATTTCGTATTTTTTGAGAAAAACAAATATCCAATGACCCCATTCTCGGACCACACTACATTTTCTTATATTTTGAGAAAAATTGCGGTCCAAGGATGGGCAACTCGGACCACTCCCTGGACAAAGCATAACATAGTTCCAAGACATTCAGAGGTCCCCATTCCTTGATCATGCTTTATTTCTTGTTTTTTGAGAAAAACAACGGTCCAATGATGGGGACCTCGGACAACTCTGCTAGGGTTTTGTTGTGTTCGCAGGGCGCTCCAAGGATTCTAACCTCGGACTGCCTGGGCATTGCCCCTAAAGCTTGGGGCACTGCCCTATCAATAGAAAAACTAATAATAATAATAATAATAATAATTGAAAGTTAAAAAACATGGGTTGACCGACCTTTCTTATAAATTATACCTAAAATCATATTATTTCATATTTTAGGTAATTATTTTAGGTCCATACATAATTTATTCTAAATTCCAACGAAAAACCTTTCATAATTGATTTCTAAATTTTAATTAACCATGAAAGTGACAATGTTTACACTTCACACATTCAGCCTAGCACATGTTCTTGGCAAATTAAATACCACATCAAGGGAATCACAAACTACCAATTATCAAGTTTTTTTTCTTGGTAATTCAGTGAGGTACTTTTTTTTTCAAATAGTAAAAAAGTTAGCTTTTTTTTAAAAAACATTAATAGGGTAGTATCAATAGGAATGAAATCCACAACGTGTTGCCTAGGGTGTAGGGTCCTACTGCCACATCCTAACCACTTTCCCAATTATTAAGTTTTCATAAGAGTGAAGGAGAGGAAGACATTTATAATAAGAAATTCCTAAAATTTAGTTTAAGGCAACTTGGACTTTGATGTTTTAACTAGAAAGGAAAGCGATAGTTATTGATTTCCTTAATAAGGGTGGTGTGGGTAATAATTATTAGTTGTACCTCATGGCCTCGTGATTCTAGACGTACCAAACAAAATTTCAAAAAAGAAAAAAAGTCGGTTAACAAAGGGCAAAATCCCCCACAAATTTAAGAAAGGGTAAAGTTTATATGAGGTTGCATCATGTAGAATTAAGGTGCACCTTTAAAGTCAATCGTGAAAGGTTGTTTTGATGTTCGAAACCCTCTAATTTATCATCTCAAGATCGGGATATATGAATATGAAAAAAAAAAAATTTCGAGTCTTAAAAATAGTGTAGCTTGCAACACGTAATCTGGACCGCTCATTTTCCAGATTTTCATATTTTTATAGATCTACTTGATTTGAACCATTTTTGAAGTTTAAAATTTAATAATTAGATATCAAAATTGATTATCAAGTAATCCTAAGAATTTTTGACACCAAAATTATATTTATGATACAATTTGATTGTTTAAGGTTGCGACCTCATGCAAATAGACAATCAAGATAATGTGTTGTACTTACCCAAAAAAGAGGTGATGTGTTGTAAGATACACTGTTTTGCGGACTCGAAATCTTTTTTTCTTTTCATATTCATATATCTCGATGTCGATATGATCAATTAAAGGGTTTTACAACATCCAAATAACTTTTTATGATAGATTTTTGAGTTGCAACCTTAATTCTACATTTTAAGGTTGCAACCTTATATAACTTTTTCCTTCAAGAAAAACTTTTTATACGCCACTGGGTACAAAGAATTCATGTACGCCACCCCTCTTCGCTTTGATTTGAATGCACAATTCTGATTGCTCAATTATAATATCACGTCGAAACACTATTATTTTTAATTTTCTCAAAAAATCGTATCGACCCCAAATTTGGAGGGGGGTCCATAGGTCATAAAGAGATATGCATAGTGTGAGGAATGCAAAGGTTTAGGAATGGGGCTTGGCCTTAAGTGATAAGCTTATAACATTTAGAAGCACTACCTCTCAAGTTTAATTCCTTCCAGATAAGTAGGGGGTTTTGGCTATTTTACCTTTTGTACTTTTAGCGAAATTTATTAAAATGATTTAATTTATTAATTATTTAATGAGTAATGATCTTAAATTTATTAAAATGATTTAATTTATTAATTATTTAATGAGTAATGATCTTAAATTTATTAAAATGATTTAATTAATTATTTAATGAGTAATGATCCTATGAGACCTTTCCATATTTATGCATGTAAGACCTCAAAAGATCACCATTAAATTTGGCATAGATCTCTAGAAAAATTAGAAATTTATTAAAATGATTTAATTTATTAATTATTTAATGAGTAATGATCCTAAATTAGTAATGAGTAATGATCCACACCTATATGTATAGGACTTCAAAAGATTACCATTAAATTTGACATAGATCTCTAGAAAAATTATCACATGGATATGAGACTTGACTTTTCTAGAGATTTGTGTCAAATTTAATGGTGATCCTTTGGGGTCCTATACACATGAGTGTGGGAGGGTCTCACACGGTCGATACAGATCTCTAGAAAAATTATCACATGGGTGTGAGACTTGACTTTTCTAGATATCTATGTGTCAAATTTAATAGTGATCCTTTGTGATCCTACATACATGGGTGTGGGAGGGTCTCACAAGGTCCTTTCCCTTATTTAATATATTCCTTTTGCAAGTACTCCAACTCTTAACTACATGTATTTTGAATTCGAATTTCAAAATTAAATAAAAAAACAAAATGTTAAATAATTGGTTTGTTAGGTGCACTTTGATAAATTTATCTTATTTTATAATGTATATATTTGAGCTCAATTCTTTATTTGGGACATGCATATAGAAGTTGGTACCCACTATTTTAGAAAGAAAAGAAAAATATATAAGACAAACATAAGGTGCACCTCAAAATGCCCAATAGAAATTTATATAAAACAAAAATAAGGTGCAACTAAAAAACCAATTAGAAAAGGACGTTCTAACATTTAAAAACTCTCCAATTAATTATCTCGAGATCTATAAAAATGAAAAAAAATATACCCTTAAAAATAATATACCTTGTAAATGGGTGATAAAAGGCGAGATATAATTTTGGTTTTTTGGTAATTAAAAAAAGCGATAAGTCAGTAATTTTCTTACCATGCTATATTTACATATTGTAATAAATATATTAATCGTTGACCCATAATATTTATCTTACCTATTACAAGGAAAGGGAACGGTACATGCCTTAAAAATTACTAAAAATAGAGGATAGTTTGCCTAAAAGTGTCTAAAATTTCTACAATAGTTTTAAAAATTCATCTTATAATTTTTTTCTTTGTAACTCTTTTTATAATTTTTTTCTTTGTAACTCTTTTTATAGGGACGTTAAGATCTTAACTTCATAACAATTTTATTTAGAAATTGTATACAATGAGGGCATTTACTTTTGTATAGGAAAGTCCCAATTACTTATAACTATCCGATAAAGTTGTATATAACGAGACCATGTATCTTTGGTATAGGGAAGTCACAATTACTTATAACCATCCGATGTGAAATCTGATAGCTCGGGTGTCTTGAGAAAATTTCTTTTGAACTTTGAACTTGTTCAATTAAATAAATGCAGCCGTCCAATTGCACATCCGATGATTGAGATTAATTGTGACTACTACGTTGTAGAAAAGGTAAATGATGTGATCATAAACTTCCCCATTTATTTATCTTTATCCATACAAAAAATATGTTAGGGGTAAGTAAATTCAAATTATCCTAACCTTGAGAGAGGGCTTGTTTTCAGGGAAGAAAGAGGGAGAGAGTCAAGAGCAATTAAATCTTGAAGGATGTCCAGTGCATGCATTCCAAATCTGATTCTGGATAACTTTCCATTTAATGACATGTAAATCTCTATATATTAAGGCCAGCCCATCTTCTACCCTCCATTGACTCCTATTTCTCTCTCTAAACAATCTCTCTCGGCGCCATGACGATCTCCAAGGCTCATTCCAATGAACCAGAGGCCCCTCCTATCCAAGGTAAGATGAAAGATGAGGTTTTCAGTATCCATCTTAGTGTTAATCTCTCTCTTAATCATCTCTGTTGCTCTTTGAATATTTGTTTTGTCTTTGTAACGAACGAAACAGAGGAGATGAATTCAAAGTTGATAGTGTCATTCGGAGAGATGCTGATCGACTTTGTTCCTACGACTTCTGGGGTCTCATTGGCTGAGGCTCCTGGTTTTCTCAAGGCACCGGGAGGTGCCCCTGCCAATGTTGCTGTTGCCATAACTAAACTCGCTGGTAGATCTGCTTTCATAGGAAAGGTGTTTCCTCACACCTCTCTGCTTCTTCCAAGTATGGGAAAAGGCTTCTATATTTCTATTTTATTTTGATACCTATTTTATTTTGATACCTATTTTATTTTGATATTGATTTAATGTTTCAAAATATTTTATTTTTATTTTTTTTACAAAATTACATGAATATTGAAATTTCGTGCGTGCCGCATGTAAAAATAATTTAAATAAATATTTTTATAAAATACAATAACCAAAATACTTTTAATAATATTTTGTTTTTATATTTTTAAGAGAGAACAGTGTAGAGAAGTGAAGTGACTTTGTGATTGGAGCTTATTTTATTGGGAATATTTTGTTTTTATATTGTGATGGGGACTTATTTTATTGGGAATATTTTGGTTTTATATTTTTAAGAGAGGAATAATGTAGAAGAGAGACATTGTGATTGGGTCATTTTAGCTGTCCACTCAAAATGGATAGTTGAATAAGAAGAAGTATATAAATTTTAACGTGTTAGCAAACTTGGCCGGATTTGGTTTTGGGTCCGGCCATGTATTTAAAAAAATTAATTTTGTATTGTATTTTTTTATTTTATTTAATACTATATTTATCTCAAATTTGGGATCTAAGTTTATTTTTAAATAAAAATATTTTAAACTAAAAATGACCAACATACCTATAGAGTTATCTGGGTATTTGTTCAAAGTACCATTTTTTTTTTTTTTAACTTTTAGTTAATTCTCTGTATGAGAATGAAGCCAAAACCTAAATTTCAATTTCTATATATATAATTCTTAAATTAAAAATAAAAACAAAAATAAAATTTGTTTTGGGCAAGCTTTCTTCCCTTAGAGTGTAAAACTTACATACTTCTCCTTATCCAACTCTCCATTTAGAGCTAAGATTGCCCCATTGCCCTGATCACAATGTCATCTACACTATTTTATTTTTAATTTTTTTCTATAAACTATTTTTACAACAAATTTTATGTCTAAAGCTAACTAGAGTACTAGCCAAAAACATGTAAAAAAAATATTTTCAATAAAATAAAATGACTAAAATACCTTGAAAGAAAATTTTTTTTTGGCCCGTGGATGAGATTACATTTAATCTTAACCATTAAAAGGTTATACGTCTGCACCTTTTAAATGTCCTTTTAAAGGTCCGCGCCATGTGAAAGCACCTGTATAGAATTTCCTTTTACATGGCGCACCTGAATAGAATGTCCTTTTAAAGGTCCGCGCCATGTGGACGCACCTGAATAGGAAAATTTCTCTCTTTCTTTTTAATCCCAATAGCCCAATAGGGCTCTCTAAGCCCTCTTTAATTCCTATAGGGCTGGTCGTCCTTTGAGTTCGGAAATCATAAGAATTATAGTTTTTTACTAAATTTATGCTTGATTATTTAAAAGATGAAAAAAATTTCCTTGGATAAATGTTTTGATTCATTTTGTGGTGTCATTTATTAAAGGACCCGGTTTCTATGTCGCCAATCCCGCATATGTAGATATGCGGGCCTCTTAATAAATCTATCTTAATAAATCTATTTTCGACTTAATTTTTAAGTTCATGTAATCTCCAACATGGAGATCATGAATATGAAATAAATAAATAAATAAATTAAAAAGCTAGGAACAATAATTCTAATAAAAAAACATTTGGACCGTTAGTTTTCATTGTTTTTAAATAGAATTACCTACTTGCATCCATCTTTAAGATTGATGCTTTACACTTTCTAGATTGCATAGGTAGAAATGCGGTCAAGCCGCATGAAACAATTTTCCTTTATTAAAACATTAACTTAAAACAATGAAACTTCCAGAAGCACCTACAATGGGATTAAAATCTATTTCTCATCCAAGTATTAAATTTAAAATTTCAAAAATAGTGAAGATGAGCCATCTATATTTCAAAATGGACCACTAGATAATGAATTACATGAAACACTATTTTAGGCATACATCTTGAAGTTGAGATGCTTTGGTATTCTATCTACATTGCTAAAGACCAATAGCCATGGGTATTATTTTTTGGGAAATTTATCAAACTACACTGAGTATTTGAACTAACATATTACCCATATCATTCTATCTGGTTTTTAATAGCTCATATCGATTAAATTTCAAATAGTAGATGAAATGAGATGTCAAACTGGGTTTTGAAATTTATCAAAATAGAGTTATAAGTAAAATGTTAAACAGTTCACACTTTGTGTATATTGGTAAATTTTTCTATTTTATTACACTACCCTTTTACATTTTTTCCCATTATTTAAAAAAAGGAATATGAAGTGTATTTGTTAATAAAAGATGAAGATAAAAAAACCATCAAAGTCTGAACGAAAGATATCCCTTTACAAAAAATGTGTCATTTTTTCCCTATATATTTTTGCTAATGGATGACGTGCTCTGCATTTTGCACATTCACTTCCTTTGGCTAAAACCTATATCGGACAATTTTTAAAAATAAATTTCAAAATCTTAGGGAATCAACCTTGGTAACTTAGCCACTGACTTCAAAAAAATTGAAATCATATGCACTCTATATGTTCTTGAAGAGATGATGTTCCAAGTGTGAACAAAACTGTCTTAAGACTGAACAAAGACTTCCCTAAGTGTTTCATACATTTCAAAATTTTAGGGATTCAACCTAGTAAATATAGGCACTAACCTAAACAAAAAAAAAATCATATGCATTCTATATGTTTATGAAGAAATGATGCTTTAAGTGTGAACAAACTGTCCTAAGATTGACAAAAAGTGTATCATAACTCAAAATCTATACTTCTTTTGAAAATACTCCCTCATGGTTTAAAAATTAATTCAGTTTTCTAGAAATGGTCGCGAAATTTCAGGTCCCACAGCTCTGAACATCATCACCCATGAATCTCGAAGTGTATCCTTTTCTAATAATAAATAAGATCCTTTATGCCAAAAATTTATATGCTTATTTTCAAATTTTAATTTCTTATCAAATGTATTAGTGTGTACTATAATGCACATTATACATTTTATTTTTATCTGAAGTTAGAGATTGGACATTTATTTGTGTACAGTGAGAGATTGCTCATTAATTTTGTCTGCAGTTTGGGGACGATGAATTCGGGCATATGTTGGCTGATATATTGCGAGAGAATGGTGTCGAGGACAAGGGCGTGTTGTTCGATCCAGATGCTCGCACTGCTTTAGCATTTGTGACCTTAAAGAGCAATGGGGAGAGAGAGTTCATGTTTTATAGGAACCCAAGTGCTGATATGCTCCTTAAGGAGTCTGAGCTCAATCTCTCTCTCATCAGAGAGGCAAAAATCTTTCACTATGGCTCCATAAGTCTCATCTGTGAGCCGTGTCGATCTGCCCACATGGCTGCCATGAAGGCGGCAAAGGATGCCGGAGTTTTCCTCTCCTACGATCCAAACGTCAGGTAAAATCTCTCTCTCTGTCTCTCTCATATTTATGTGCAAGATTAATAAACAAACTTCTTTTTGCAATTGTAGGTTGCCACTTTGGCCTTCTCCTGAAGCTGCTAGGAATGGAATCTTTAGCATATGGAAAGAAGCAGACTTTATTAAGGTATTTAATCCATTTTTCACTTATAGATGAGTTAAAAGACATGAATTTTCTCTTTTTCTTGGAAGGGGTCTACGATTGTATCAATTTTAAATGAATTTAACTTTTTTTTTTTCAATATGTTTGAACTCAGCTCAGGCCCAGATGTAAATATCTCTGCAGATTTCGCTTCTTAAGTAGAGTAAATGCTCATAGACCTTAAAAATAAAAAATAAGAAAACTTGTTTAAAATGACAAAAAATATGACAAAAGAGAGCTAAAGAAATATATAAAACATGGATTTAGAAAAGAGAGTATAAAATCATATTATTTATCTATGGTACAAGGTGATCACCTTAATCTCCAGCAATTATTCCATTGTCCAAGCTCAAACTTCAAAAGATTTTTTCTCGAACTTTGTGATACATCCAAGCTATCAAATTTAACATCGGATGGTTGTAGGTAATTGTGACCACCTTGTTTCAAAGATAAATGATCGCATTGTATACAATCCTGAAAAGAAAAAAATGAATTTATAAATGAATTTATAAATGAATTTATAGGTGGAGTACTAGCTAACTCTGGGTTCTACTGACATTTAACCCCTAACCATAACTCATCTAATGATTCTTCAACATCACTCGGTTCATACCAGTACTTAGTTTCACCCAAGCTTCATCCTAGTCACGAATAGATCACCCTTGAAGACATTTAAAAGGAAAATACAAAGGGAAAAATATATTACTAGGGTATATCACAAGGAGAACTTGCAAATTATGGTAATATTTTTTGGAAATCACATATATAATTCTTATAATTGATTCCACATTTTTTTTTATACTTTTTGCTTTTTTTGTTTTTGAGGAGTGGGTGGAGTTGCACCCGAGGACTTACTTGAAATGGAGTCGAGCCAGAGTATACATGGCCGAGTTTTCAATCACTAGTTTTTTTTTTTTTTTTGATTTTGCGATTGCTAAATTGAAAAGTGAAATTTAATTGTCTTTTATTTTGTTGGTTTTGATTGTGCTAAATTTGATTGTTGGATTTGTGTTAAAGGTTAGTGATGATGAGGTGAGGTTTCTGACAGAAGGGGATGCACAAAATGAAGAGGTGGTGTTGACATTGTGGCATGATAACCTCAAGTTGCTAGTGGTGACTGATGGAGAGAAGGGCTGCCGCTATTTCACCAAGGTTTTCATTTTAACACACTTAATTCTCTTTTTTTTTTTTTTATAGTGGTCACTTGTGGTAATACATGAGCTTAAGTGCACTTAAATTTTTGAGTGAGTTACATATGGACCCAAAATTTTTATCTAAAATACGAAATGCTTTATTTACGGGCAGAAATTACAAAGGTTTGTAAATCTTTTTTTTTCAAAATTACCTAAGAATGAAATCCTTGGTTTGAATTTTAGATTTTTCTTTTTTTAGTTTTTTTTTTGTTAGTAGGCAATGCCTCAACATTTAAGGCAATACCTTACTAACGAAAAAACTAATAATAATAATAATTAAAATTTGGTTTGAGGACATCCCGAGACAGAGAGACAATTTAAAAAAAAAAAAACAGGTTGACCAACCTTCTTTGTATTTCATATTTTAAATTTTTTTTTTAAGATCCTTATATATATCGCTCTAATTTTTTTTGTTTTATTTTGTTGAAATTTAATTTGCTCTCTCTCTCTCTCTCTGTAGAGTTTCAAAGGAAAAGTGGATGGATTTGCTGTGGACACTGTGGACACAACGGGTGCTGGTGATGCATTCGTTGGGGCATTCCTGGTTCAGCTTGTCCGCGATTCATCAGTTCTTCAGGTTCATTATCCTCATCTTCTTTAAATAATAATGGCAATTGTCCATTTGTTGTTATTTTTTGAGAAATTTATTGAATTGATTTCTGAACTATTAATATTTTATCTAAGCCGTGGTGTTGAAGGGAACATTGAAATTTAATAAAAATAGTTAAAATATTTAATACTTCATCCCATATATATATATATATATATGAGTAATGATCCTATGAGATCCTCTCATACCTTATATGTATAGGACTTTAAAGGATTACCATTAAATTTGACACAAATCTCTAAAAAATTTAAGTCCCACACCCATGCGATAAATTTTCTAACCAAATTTAATGGTGATAATTTAGGGTCCTATAGACTTGGGTGTGGGAGGGTCTCATACGATCATTACTCTATATATATATATATATATGGCAATTATTTCATGCAACCGTTGTATAGTAATATGATGCAACAACGTTAAAAAACCATCTTATGGCCATTTCTTTGATCCAAATTTTAAAATATACACTCTTTTTATTCTAGTGAACAATCACATAAAAGCAAAAAATTGAAAACACAGTCTAGAAAGTATTTTTTTGGCCCAATTAACATAGGCTGTTCATTGTGGTGAGATGTTTAGATCTAAGCCTTAGAAGGATTTTTTTCATTTCCAATTTTTTTGGATGACTTTATTATCATTATATGAACAATGTTACAAAATAATTTTTGATTTTATAAAAGTTAAGATCTTGAAATTTATAAAATGAATGGTCTAGATTCATTTTTGGAGTGGACTCATTTTGACTATATCTAGGGTTCAAATTGAACTTTTTTTTAGGGGGAATTGATTATTGAGAAGAAGAGAGTGTGTGTGCCAAATTTGGGGTCATACAAATACCACAAACATGGTTTTCTAGAAGTGTCGTTGCATTATATTATGATTCAGCCGTTGCATTGGATCATTGATATATATATATATATATATATATATATGGAAAAATTTCCTGTCAGCCTAGTGT